ACAATCTACAATGCCTTAAGATAATCTATACTGGCATCAAATCAGTCTACGCTGGCTTTGAGACGATCTATGCTGGATTCAAGACAATCAATGCTGGCTTCGTATCAATGTACGTTGGCTTTGAGACAATCTACAATGGCTTTGAAGCAATCTATGCTGGCTTTGAGACAACATACACAGGCTTCAAGACAATCTACACTGGCTTTGAGGCATTCCACGCTGGCTTTGAGATAAAAGACGATGGCTTCAAGACAATCTATGCTGGCTTCGAAAAAATCTATCCTGGCTTTGAGAAAATCTATGCTGGCTTCGAGACAATCTATGCTGACTTCAGTACAATCAACTCTGGCTTTGAGGCAATCTACACTGGCTTTGAGAAAATCTACACTGGCTTTGAGACAATTAACACTGGTTTTCAGTTAATCTATGCTGGTTTCAAGACAATGTATGCTAGCTTCTAGTAAATATACACTGGCTTTGAGTCAATCTATGCTGGCTTCAAGGCAATCTTTGCTGGCTTTGGGGCTGTCTACACTGGCTTCGAGTCAATCTACGCTGGCACTGAGACAATCTATGCTGGCTTGGAGTCAATCTATGATGGCTTCAACACAATCTACGCTGGGTTCAAGTAAATCTATGCTGGCTTTGAGACAATCAACACTGACTTCGAGTCAATCTATGCTGGGTTTGATAATACCTATGCTGGCTTTGTGAAAATTAACACTGGTTTTGAGGCAATCTATGCTGGCTTCAAGACAATCTACATGCTTGCAGTCAACCTACACAGGCTTTGAGACAATCTACACTGGCTTCGGAGTAATCTACGCTGGCTTCAAGACAATCTACACTGCCTCAAGTCAATCTACACTGGCTTCGAGAAAATCTATGCTGGATTTGAGTCAATCTATGATAGCTTCAAGACAATGAACGCTGGCTTCTTTTCAATCTATGTTGCTTTGAGAGAATCTATGCTGGCTAAGAGATAATCTACATTGGTTTTGAGTCAATCTGCGATGGCTTCAAGACAAACTATGCTGGCGTTGAAACAATCTACATTGGCTTCATGTCTATCTATGTTGGCTTCAAGATAATCTACACTGGCTTCAAAAAAATCTATGCTGGCTTCTAGACAATCTACACTGCTTTCAAAAATATTTATGCTGCCTTCAAGATAATCTACTCTGGCCTCAAGAGAATCTACACTGGCTTCTTGTCAATCTGCGCTGGCTATGAGACAATCTACTCTGGCTTTGAGACAATTAACACTGGTTTTGAGGCAATCTATGCTGGCTTCAAGACAATCTACACCGACTTCGAGTCAATCTACACTGCCTTTGAGACAATCTGTGTGGGGGCTTTGAGACAATCAATGCTGGCTTTGAGTCAATCTATGCTGGCTTTGAGACAGTCTACACTGGCTTTGAGACAATCTATGCTGGCTTCAAAAAAATCCATGCTGCCTTACAGACAATCCACACTGGCTTTGAGACAATCTACGCTGACTTTGAGGCAATCTACACTGCCTTCAAGACAATCTATGCTGGCTTCAAAATATCTACGCTGGCTTCAAGACAACCTATGCTGGATTTGAGGCAATTTACAGTGGCTTCGAGTCTATCTACACTGGCTTTGAGATAATCTACCCAGGCTTTGAGACATTCAACACGGGTTTTGAGGCAATCTATGCTGACTTTGAGACAATCTATGCTGGCTTTGAGACAATCTAGCCCGGCCTCGAGTCAATCTACATTGGCTTCGACACAACTTACGCTGGCTTCTAGATAATCAACGCTAACTTCATTTCAATCTATGCTGACTTCAAGACAATTTATGCTGGCTCCAAAACAATCTATGCACTTCGAGTCAATCTATGCTGGCTTTGAGACAATCTACACTGCCTTAGACGCAATCTATACTGGCTTTTAGCTTTGAGGCAATCAGTGCTGGCTTTGTGTCTTTCGATGCTGGCTTTGAGATAATATACACTGGCTTTGAGGCAATATATGCTGGCTTCAAGACAATATATGCTGGCTTTTAAAAAATCTATGTTAATGTTGGGGCAATCTACGCTGGCTTTATAACAACATATGCTGGCTTTGAGACAATCTATGCTGGCTTTGAGGCAATCCACACTGACTTCAAGACAATCTGCCCTTACTTTAAGGCAATCTATGCTTCCTTTGAGACAATCTACGCCAGCTTCGAGACAATCTATGTTGGCTTTGAGACAATTAACACTGGCTTTGTAAGGCAATCTATGCTGGCTTCAAGACAATCTATGCTGGCTTTGAAAAAATCTACACTGGCTTTGAGAAAATCTTTGCTGGCTTTTAGACAATTAACACTGGTTTAGAGGCAATCTATACTGCCTTCGAGACAATCTACGCTGGCTTCAAGTCAATCTATGCTAACTTTGAGATAATATATGTTGGTTTCAAGATAACACTGGCTTCAAGGCAATCTACACGGGCTTGGAGACAATCTACGCTGAATTGGAGTCAATCAACACTGGTTTTGTGTCATTCTATGATGGATTTGAGATAATCTACACTGGCTTCAAGACAATCAATGTTGGCTTTGAGGCGATTTATGCTGGCTTTGAGGCAATATACGTTGACTTCCAGACAATCTACGCTGGCATCAAGACAATCTACACTGAATTGAAGTCAATCAATGCTGGCTTTGTGTCATTCTACACTGGCTTTGAGACAATCTACACTGGCTTTGAGGCAATATATGCTGGTTTTGTGACAATATATGCTGGCTTCAAAAAAATCTATGCTGGTTTTGAGACAATCTACACTGGCTTCCAGTAAATCTGTGCTGGCTTTGAGACAATCTATGCTGGCTTCAAGAAAACCTACGCTGACTTCAAATCAATTTATGCTTGCTTTGAGACAATCTACACTGGCTTCAAGAATATCTACATCGGCTTCAAGACAATATATCTTCAATGGCTTTGAGATAATGTATGCGGGCTTCAAGACTACACAAGTTTTGAGATAATTTACATAGACTACAAGACAATCTATGTGGGAAATGAGCCAATGTATGCAGGCGTCAAGAAAATATAACTATAAAAGCATTGAGACAAATAACATGAACTTCAATAAAATCTACATGAGCTTCAATACAATCTATGCAGGCCTCAAGATAATCTACCTACACAAACTTCAGGACAATCTACGTGATCTTAGAGACAATTTATCTATGTGAGCTTTGAGACAATCTGTGCTGGATTTGACACAATCTGTGTATGCAGGCTTTGAGACAATCTACCTACACAAGCTTAAAGACACTTTACACACAATTTGAGACAATCCATGCCAGCTTTGAGACTATCTACATGGTCTTCGTGAGAATCTATGCAAGCTTTGGGGCAATCTATGCAGGCTTCAATACAATCTACACTGGCATTGAGACAATATACACTTGTGTCAAGAAAACAATAGTTTCAAAACAATCTATGCTGGTTTAGAGAAAACATATTAGGCAGGCTTTGAGACAATCTATATACTCGGGCTTCAAGACAATCTATACAAGCTTTGAGACAATCTACGTGAACTTCGAAACAATCTAAGCAGGCTTCAAGACAATCTAAGTGGGCTGTGAGACAATCTGTCTATGTGGGCTTCAAGACAATTTACGTGGGCTTTTAGAAAATCTTTCTATGTGGGCTTTGAGATGATCTATGCTGGCTTCAAGACAATCTACACCAGCTTAGAGACAATGTATACATGCGGGCTGTGTGACAATTTATGCAGGCTTCACGACAATTTATGCAAGCTGTGAGACAATCTACACAAGCTTTTAGACAATCTTTGCAGGCTTCGAGACAACGTATGTGGGCTTCAAGACAATGTACACTGGCTTTGAGATAATCAACGCTGGCATTGAGACAATCTGTGCTGGTTTTAAAACAATCTACGCTGGCTTAAAAATATATGTATGTAGGTATTGAGACAGTCTATGCAGGCTTTGAGACAATCTACACAAGCTTTGAGAAAATCTATACAGACTTTAAGACTATGCGGGCTTTGACACAATCTTTGCAGGCTGTGAGATACGGGCTATGAGACAATCTACGTGGGCTTTAAGAAAATCTATCTACGCGGGCTTTGAGACAATCTATGCTGGCTTCAGGACAACCTATGCTGGCTTCAAGATGGTCTATGCAGGCTTTGAGACAATGTATATATGCAAGCTTTAGGACAATCTGCAAGATTTGAGATTGTTGAGATTGAGATTGTTGAGATCGTCTTGCAATTTGAGATTTCAAGACAATTTACACAGACTTTGAGAAAATTACACAGACTTTGAGACAATCTACTCAAGCTTTAAAACAATCTACTCAGTCTTCGAAACAATCTATGCTGGCTTCAGGACAATCAATGCTTGCTTCAAGAAAATCAACGCTCGTTTTGAGATAATCTACGCTAACTTAGAGACAACGTATATACCCAGGCTTACTGAAAATCTATCTATGAGGGCTTCAAGACAATCTACACTGGCTTCAAGACAATCTACGCAGGCTTTGACACAATCTGTTTACTACATAGGCTTGCAGACAATCTATCTACGTGGGCTTCAAGACAATCTACATGGGCTACCTGACAATCTAAGTGGGCTTCAAGACAATCTGCAGAGGCTTTGAGACAATCTACACTCTCTTTGAAACAATCTATGCTGATTTCTAGACAATCTACACTGGCTTTATGTCAATCTACACTGGCTTCGAGAAAATCTACGATTGCTCAGAGACAATGTATTAGGCAGACTTTGAGACAATCCATGCGGGTTTTGAGACAATCTATGCAAACTTCTAGAAAATCTTTCTATGTAAGCTTTAAGACATTCTATGCTGGCTTCAAGACAATCTATGCTGGCATCAAGACAATCTCTGCTGGCTTCGAGACAATCTAGACTGGCTTAGACAACATGTGTATGTCACTGTGACATTCTATATATATGACATTCTATCTTTGTGACATTCTATCTTTGCAACATTCTATCTATGCAGGCTTTAACACGATTTATGCAAGCTTTGAGACAGTCTATACAAGCTTCTAGACAATCTATCTATGCAGGCTTCAAGACAATCAACACTGGCTTTGAGACAATCTATGCCGGCTTCGAGAATATACACGGGCTTCAAGACAATCTATGCTGGCTTTGAGAAAATCTATGCGAGCTTCAAGCAAATCTACTTGGGCTTTGTGACAATATATCTCTGCAGGCTTTGACACAATCTATGCAGGCTTTGAGACAATGTATATATACAAGCTTTGAGACAATCTACCTACATGCACTTTGAGACAATCTACACAAGTGTCAAGACAATCTGCATTGGCTTTGAGACAATTTACCCTGGCTTTGATACAATCTACACTGGCTTTGAGACAATGTATATGCACAAGCTTCAAAACAATCTATCTAGGCATGCTTCGAGACAATCTATACAGGCTTTAAGACAATATCTATGCAGGCTTCACAACAATCCATGTAAGCTTTGGTACAATTTATGCAGACTTCAAGACAAACTATGTAGGCTTTGAGACAATATATGCTTGCTTCGAGACAATCTACACTTGTTTAGAGACAATGTATGTATACCGGCTTCAAGACAATCTATCTATGTTGCTTTGAGACAATCTACACAGCTTTGAGATGATCTATGTGGGCTTCAAAACAATCTATACAACCTTCAAGACAATCTATGTGGGCTATGAGAAAATCTATGTGGCCAGTGAGCCAATCTATGCCAGCTTTGAGAACATATATCTATGCGTGCTTTGAGACAATCAACACAAACTTTGAGACAATCTATGTGGGCTTTGAGACAATCTATCTCCATGGGCTTCAAGATTATCTATCTATGTGAGCTTGTAGACATATCTATGCAAGCTTGAGACAATCTATGCAGGTTTTGAGACAATCTACACTGGCTTCAAGACAATGTATATATGCAGGCTTTGCGACAATCTACATGGGCTTCAAGACAATATATGCTGGCTTTGAGACAAAATGCTGGCTTGAGACAATCACTTCCGGATTCGAGACAATCTACACTGGTTTAGAAACAATGTATGCACACATGCTTTGAGACAAGCTATCTATACAGGCTTGAAGCCAATCTACACAAGCTTTTAGACAATCTACACAGACTTTGAAACTATCTACAAGAGCTTTGAGACAATCTATATCAGCTGTGAGACAATCTATCTAGGCAGGCTTCGAGACAGTTTACTTGAGCTTTGAGAAAATCATCCTATATGTGCTTCCAAACAATATACTCTGGCTTTGAGACAATCTACACTGGCTTCGAGAATATCTACACATGCTTCAAGACAACCTACACCCTCTTTGAGAAAATCTACCCCAAGTTCAAGACCATATATCTACACAGGCTTTGAGACAATATATCTACACAAGCTTTGAGACAATCTGTGCAAGCTACCAGACAATTTATGTGGGCAATGAGCCAATCTATGTAGGCTTCAGGAATATGTATCTACTCAGGCTTCAAAACAATCAACACAGACTTCGAGACAACCTACACAAGCTTTGAGACAATCTATTTACACAGGCATTGCGACAATTTACGTGGGCTACGAGACAATCTACGCTGGCTTCAAGATGATCTACACTAGCTTAGACACAATCTATATATGCAGGGTTTGAGACAATCTATCCACGCCTACAGAGAACCAGCTTGGTCATGAGACCCCCACCCAGGCAGTGCTGAAGGTATTTGAGACAATCTGCACCATCTTTGAGACAATCTACATGAGCTTTGAGACAACCTACTACAAACTTCAAGACAATCTACATGAACTTTGAGACAATCTACATGAACTTCAAGACAATCTACACGAACTTCTAGACAATCTACACGAACTTCCAGACAATCTACCACAAACTTTGAGACAATCTACATGAACTTTGAGATAATCAACCATGAACTTCAAGATAATCTACACAAACTTTGAGACAATCTACACAAACTTCAAGACAATCTACCACAAACTTTGAGACAAGCTACATGAACTTCAAGATAATCTACCATGAACTTCGAGACAATCAACCATGATCTTCAAGACAATCTACCACAAACTTCATGACAATCTATGCAAACATTGAGAAAATCTATGTGAACTTCAAGACAATCTACATGAACTCGGAGACAATCTATGTGAACTTCACAACAATCTACACGAACTCTGTGACAATCAACCATGAACTTCAAGACAATCTACACGAACTTCCAGACAATCTACACAAACTCCAAGACAATCTACACAAACTTTGAGACAATCTACATGAACTTCCAAACAATCTACATGAACTTTGAATCTGCACGATCTTTGAGACAATCTACACGACCTTCAAGACAATCTACACAAAATTTGAGACAATCTCCCAATAACTTTAGACAATCTACACAACCTTTGAGATGATCTATATGAACTTCGAGACATCTACACAAACTTTGAGACAATCTACCATCAGAGCAATTTGGTATCTCGGTGCTTCCATTCTTTGTCATTTAGTCCATCTACACCACTGAGTTCTGGATAAACAAATCAATTTAGTTTACTTTTTTATTTTATTTATTTATTTATTTATTTAGAGACAAGGTCCTGCTCTGTGGCCCAAGCTGGAGAATAGTGGTGCAAACATGGCTCACTGCCGTCTCAACCTCCTGGGCTCAAGTGATCTTTACACCCCAGCCTCCTGAGTCCCTGGGAATACAGATGCATGCCACCACATCCAGCTCATTAAAAAATTTTTTTTGTAGATGAGTGTCTCACTCTATTGCCCAGGCTGATGTTGAACTCCTGGGCTAGCTAAAGTAATTCTTCCACCATGGCCTCCCACAGTATTGAGTTTACAGATGTGCCACTATGCCTAGCCTACCTTTTACTATTTAATTTCAAGTGCTGTTAGAACCTGGATATTTTAACTTTTAAATTTTGTCCTGAAAGATCATCCTGTGAAATTTTATTTTCTGCCCTTTTTGAGTGATAATGTTTCTCTTTAAATAAAAATAATCATATCCAACCTATCTAAATAGCATGCTATGTATTTTCTCACTACAGCTTGCATTGTATAAATTCAAATAACTCTCAGTTAACATTTCTCTTAACTTTATTTGAGTCAGTGTTTAGTTTTCCTATAGAGGGGCTTTAAGAAGACAGCGGTCTTCTTAAAGATTCCACATGATGAGCAGAGGTGATAAATATAAACAGAGCTTTTAGGGTTTTGTTGGAAACCTCTTCACTTGTAAGTCAAAATGCAGACTTTGCTTTTTAAACGTATTTTCTAGCACAACTAAGTACCCTGCAAATAGCTGACCTGCCTCAAACCTTTTAGTGATCACAGTTATTTACTTAAAAAGACAAAACAAAACAAAACAAAAAAACGGAGTTGTGTGTGGCCAAATTCGTTTAGTTTGTAACAGCAAAACCATCGCTGAAGCATGAGTTTTGCAAGTTGAATGAGGGTTAACACAGCCCAGCTGGATGCAACGTGTGTGGCAGAGGGTGCCATCATAGTGACTGTGATTTTGGCTGGGAGAGACGAAGTGGAGGCACAGGGAAGGCTGCTTCACAGGGTAGGACACAGGCTCTAGTGGCCCACCCCAGGCACGTGGTTGCTTCACTTCTTACTCCCTAGGGAACACACAACCATCCAGATGCAATAACTCATCAGCAGATCCAGTTTTTAAGTTTTCCTTCATTTAAAGTCAGCCACATTTATACTTTCTTCTAAAAGCACTTCTAATCAAGAACTGTAACGTCATAATTTTTTTACTGTAAATTAGCATAAATTTCAAGTAAGTTGATAATTGAGCAAAAAGTGACTCCTTAAAAACAGGGCGCGTTAGCCAATTGGGGGATGGGCAATGAAGTTACTTTTTCAGGCAGTTACTTTTTCTAGACAAATGCTATGAAATCTCTGTAGATCAACAAGATCAACTCTCAGTTGGAACAAAGCAAGCTTGCAGTGTTTTTAAAATAGTCTGAAAAATGTGTGAACATATGAGGGAGAACTCTGCAAATTTTGTTTAAAATTTAAAAGGCTCTCCTTGAAGAGGTCCTTTACATCCTTTGTTAGTTGTATTCCTAGGTATTTTATTCTCTTTGTAGGAATTGTGAATGGCAGTTTGCTCTTGCCTTGGCTCTGTTTGTCTGTTACTGGTATATAGGAATGCTTGTGATTTTTGCACGTTGATTTTGTATCCTGAGACTTTGCTGAAGTTGCTTATCAGTTTGAGAAGATTTTGGGCTAAGACGATGCGGTCTTCTAGATATACAATCATGTCATCTGCAAATAGAGACAGTTTGACTTTGACTTCCTCCTATTCTAATTGAATACCGTTTATTTCTTTTTCTTGCCTGATTGCTCTGGCTAGAACTTCCAATACTATGTTGAATAGGAGTGGTGAGAGAGGGCATCCTTGTCTAGTGCCTGATTGCAAAGAGAATTCTTCCAGCTTTTGCCCATTTAGTACGATATTGGCTGTAGGTTTGTTATATATAGCTTTTATCATTTTGTGATACATTCTGTCAATACCTAGTTTATTGAGAGTTTTTAGCATGAAGGGCTGTTGAATTTTACCAACGGCCTTCTCTGCATCTATTGAGATAATCATGTGGTTTTTGTCTTTGGTTCCATTTATGTGATGGATTACATTTATGGATTTGCATATGTTGAACCAGACTTGCATCCTTGGGATGAAGCCTATTTGATCGTAGTGGATAAGCTTCTTGATGAGCTGTTGCAATCTGTTTGCCAGTATTTTATTGAAGATTTTTGCATCAATGTTCCTCATGGATATTGGCCTGAAGTTTTCTTTTTTAGTTGAGTCTCTGCCTGTTTTTGGTATCAGGATGATGTTGGTCTCAGAAAATGAGTTAGGGAGGATTCCCTCCTTCTGTACTGTTTGATACAGTTTCAGAAGGAATGGAACCAGCTCCTCTTTGCATGTCTGGTAGAATTTGGCTGTGAACCCGTCTGGACCTGGACTTTTTTTGGTTGGTAGGCTATCGACTTCTGCCTCTACTTCAGCCCTTGTTACTGGTCTATTCAGAGTTTCAACTTCCTCCTGGTTTAGTCTTGGTAGAGTACAAGTGTCTAGGAATTTATCCAAACCACTGCTCAACGAAATAAGAGAGGACACAAACAGATGGAAAAACATTCCATGCTCATGCTTAAGAAGAATTAATATTGTGAAAATGGCCATACTGCCGAAAGTAATCTATAGATTAAATGCTATCCCCATCAAGCTACCAATGACCTTCTTCACAGAACTGAAGAAAACCACTTTAAACTTCATATGGAATCACAGAAGACCCTGCATAGCCAAGACAATCCTAAGCAAAAAGAACAAAGCCAGAGGGATCACACTGTCAGGCTTCAAACTATACTACGAGGCTACAGTAATCAAAACAGCATGGTACTGGTACCAAAACAGAGACATACACCAATGGAACCGAACAGAGACCCCCAGAAGAAACACCACACATCTACAACCATCTGATCGTTGACACACCTGCAAAACCAGGCAATGGGGAAAGGACTCCATGTTTAATAAATGGTGTTTGGAAAACTGGCTAACAATGTGCAGAAAGCAGAAACTGGACCCCTACCTGTCACTTTACACTAAAATTAACTCCAGATGGATCAAAGATTTAAACCTAAAACCTAACACCATAAAAACACTAGAAGAAAATGTAGGCAAAACCATCCAGGACATAGGCACAGGTAAGGACTTCATGACTAAAACACCAAAAGCAATGGCAATAAAAGCCAGGATAGACAAATGGTATCTAATTAAACTCCACAGCTTCTGTACGGCAAAAGAAACAATCATTAGAGTGAATTGGCAGCCAACAGCATGGGAAAAAAAATTTGCAATCTATTAATCTGACAAAGGGCTAATATCCAGAATCTACAAAGAACTCAAACAGTAAAAAAACAAACAACCCCATTCAAAAGTGGGCGAAGGATATGAACAGACACTTTTCAAAAGAGGACATATATAAGGCCAACAAACATATGAAAAAATGCTCATCATCATTAAATGGTCATTAGAGAAATGTAAATCAAAACCACACTGAGATATCATCTCACGCCAGTTAGAATGGTGATCATTAAAAAATCTGGAGACAACAGATGCTGGAGAGGCTGTGGAGAAATAGGAACACTCTTACACAGTTGGTGGGAATGTAAATTGGTTCAACCTTTGTGGAAGACAGTGCAGCGATTTCTCAAGGATCTAGAAACAGAAATTCCATTTGACCCAGCAGATCCCACTATTGGGTATATACCCAAAGAACTATAAATCGTTCTACTATAAAGACACATGCACACATATGTTCACTACAGCCCTGTGTACAATAGCAAGACTGGACAAAGAAAATGTGGTACATATACACCATGGAATACTACGCAGCCATAAAAAACAATGAGTTCATGTCCTTTATAGGGACTTGGATGAATCTGGAAACCATCATTCTCAGCAAACTGACACAAGAACAGAAAGCCAAACACCGTATGTTCTCACTCATAGGTGGGTGTTGAACAACGAGAACACGTGGACTCAGGGAGAGGAGCATCACACACTGGGGACAGTTGGAGGGGGTAGGGGAGAGACACAGGGGGTGGGGAGGGATAACATGGGGAGAAAAGCCAGATATAGTATGCACCTAAAGTAAATTAAATAAATTTAAAAACATAAAAAATAAAAAATAAAATTTAAAAGGCTACAGACAAGCCCTTGAAGAAAGGTATGTATTTTTTGATGTTGGTATGAACTGACTGAGATGAGCTATAACTGCACAGGTGCATGCTGACGAACTGAAAACATATGCTTGTCTCTCTCCTCCATTGGACAGTAGGCTCCTTGGGAGCTCCTTCGTAAATATTTGCCATAATCATGGACCACAATAATTTAAATAACCTTTATATGTTACTTTAGGACACTTCTGAACTTCCTGTTTATCAGCCTGTCTCCCAGCACACTTCCCTTGCAGCTAGAAAGCAGGGTATTGGCCTGGACTTGGCTAATGGGACACACCCAAATGAGACTTCAGTTTGGAAGTGCCACAAGGAAGCAGGCTCTCTGTGGAACATCCCCTCTGCTGGTCTACTTGCAGCTTTTTTGATGGAGAAGTGATGGTTCTGTCCAGCAGCAGAAGTACAGGCATTAACTAGGGGACAGCAGCAGTGACGGCAGCTTCCTCATTGGTTTGGTTCCACAGCATGGGGGCAGGGTTGGTCCTGGAAGCAAGAGTCATTCCCAGTCTGCAGCATGACTTTGAAAGCAACCTCTGAACCTTTAGTTAATCTCTGCTGCTCAAACTGGTCAGAGTAGGTTCTGTTACTTGCAGTTAAGAACTCTAACCAACCTCAGACAGGTAACATGACTTACCAGTTGTCATGTCGTCAGTTCAGTACTGGACATGGGCATGTGGAAAGGCACAGTGCACCGCCTTCAAAAAGGCCAAGGGAGGGGATTCCTGCCTTTGCAGGCCCAGAGACTCTTGTCAGTGCCAAAGGCTCTGCAAGTATTTAAATTGTGCTGCAGGTGGAAAGTCTTAGTCCATTTGGGCTCCCATAGCAAATTCCATAGGCTGGATGGCTTTGGCAGCAAACTCCTACTTCTCATAGTTCTGGAGGGTGGGAAATCCAAGACTGCCAGCAGTTCTGAGGTCTGGTGAGGGCTGCTTCCTGGTTTGCAGAAGGCTGTTTTTTCATGGTGGAAGGGTCAAAGGAGCTCTCCTGGGCCTCTTTTATGAGGCCACTAATCCCATTCACACAGCCTGTACCCTCATGACCACATCACCTCCCAGAAGCCCCACCCGCTAATACTATCACAATGGAGATTAGTTTTCAAAACATGAATTGTTGAAGGCACAGCATTTAGTTCATAATATGAAAGAATAGAATTGTACTTAACATTTGCAATAATAAAAGTTTCACATGAACTGGAAAGGCTCATGTTGGCAGGATAGGTGCACTCTCTAAGTTCAACTTCAATAAAAGAGCCTAAGAGTGAAATTAGAGCAGGAATTGCTAGAAAGAAGGAAGGAAGAGGAGGAGAGGAGGCAGAAAGAGAGGAAGAAGGGAGGGAGAAAAGGAGGGAAGAAAGGAGGAAGGGAAGAAAAAAGGAAGGGAAGAAAGGAGGATAGGGAAGGAGGGAGAGAAAGAGTGTGGAAAAAGGAAGGAAGAAAAGAAAAAAATGGAAGGAAGGGAAGGAGGAAGGAAGGGGGAAAAAGGAAGGGAGAAAAGGAGGGGAGAAAGGGAGAGAAAGACGAAGGAAGGAAGGAAAGGAGAGGGAGGGAGGAAGGAAGAGAGAAGGAAGAAAAAGGGGAGGAAGGAAGAGAAGAGAAAGGAAGGAAGGAAAGTAGAGAGATAAAGGAGGAAGTTTAAATGTTCTATATGATTCCAAGGTACTTAGCATAAATGGCTCCATTCTGGTTTGGTCTGCTTTGCTGGGGCCTAGTGTAGGAGGCTTGTCTAAAACAGTGGCTTCCCATAAACTGTGTTTAACATTTATCAGTGCCTGCTTGTCACAAAGGATATTTTCAAGAATACAAATGCACAGGCAGATGAATGGATACATAGGGTCAGGATTGGAAATTCCTGAGCAGAAAAGCTTGTCCCCAAGGAGTTGTGTTGTGCTACTGTCCTGGTACACTGATAGGTTCTTGTTGATCAACCCAGAAGCTCTCTGAATCCGGCCTTTTTGTTTTTGTATGGAGGTTTCATTACCTAGACATGATTGATTCAATCACTGGCCATTGTGATTGACTCAACCTCCAGCTCTTCTTCCCTCCAAGGCTGAGGGTAGCCTAAGGCTGAAAGTTCTAACCCTCTAATCACACAAGGGTTATCCTGGCAACCCCCTCTCATGCTGAGGCAATCCAGGAGCCCCCAACCCACATTCATCTCACTGGCATACAAGTAGACACATCACTTTGGAGATTATATGGGTTTTAGGAGCTACATGCCAGGATAAAGGAGGAAGATCAAATATACATTTCCTATTATAAATCATAGTATCACAGAGGGCCAAGTAGAGAAAAACAAAAAAGCCCATACCTAGAAGTATTATAGCCACACCTAAGAATATCAAACACAAATAAAATTCTAAAAGCTTCCAGAGAGAAAGAACTAGTCACCTATAAATAGGGTAACTGAACACCTATAAGTAAGTGGACCACATGTCTTAATGTACACAGGACAGTCCTGGGTTACACCTACTGACAGGCATAATTATTAGTAGTATCCCCTTCACGCTCCAAAGTGTCCTAGTTGAATGATAAATTATATCATCATCCTGCCTAACAAAGGAATAAGAGTCAGACTGATTATGGACTCCTCAATAGAAAAATGGTACAAGAGGAAAATGGTGTAATGTTTTTAAAAAATTAAAAGAAAATTGAATACTAAAAGTCTTATCCAAATTGTCATTAAATGTGAAAGTATAATAAAAACATTCTCATTCATACATCTCCAAAATTTTGCCACATGTTGAAAATACCCTTGAAGGAAGGTTTAGATAAGAGAACGGCAAATCCAGGATATTTCTACAAAACACATGAAAATTATGGGTAACTGAATACCTAAAGTTTATTATAGGACCTGTCAAAAGAAAACCTTTTTAGACAAATTAAACAATTTAATTGAGCAAAGGACAATTCATGAATCAGCAGCACTGAACCAGTGGAGGTTCTGAGAGCTCTGTTCCTCAGAGTGGGTAGAGAGAGTTGATAGATCGAAAAGGGAAGTGAGGTGCAGAAACAGTTGGACTGGTTTCAGCTTTGTGTTGCTGTATTTGGATGTGGTCTGATCAGCAGGAAGCCTGTGACTGGCTGAAGGTCAGCTGCTCCGATTAGCTGACACTCAGCTGTTTGTTACAAAGAACAGTCCTTAATTAGGCTTTCAGTTTATTTACCTACTAAACCAGTTTATATTTCCTTACTTAGGGATATAAGCTATGGCAGCCTCAGGCCAAGTTTTAATTTAACAATCAAAAAAGGAAAATCACTGTTTCCATAACAACCCAGAACTAAAATATTAGCATGATGGGGGCTGAGGGAAGTGGGAGATTAAGGAACATAATCACATGCAAAAATTCTTGACTTGAAAGCACTGTATTGCAGGCTTCAAATTAACTGTTACTATTATGAGAACAAAAGTGTAATGTTTAACTTTTAAACTGGCAGAATACTCAAAATGACCAAAAGAAAGAAGGAAAGGAGACTTTTAAAAAATGAAACAAAAATTCAATAAAAGTAAAATATGAAATAAAATAGCAAAAATAAATCCTATCAAAAGAAATCCTGTCAAAGGGAAACCTTCTTAGACAAAGTAAACAATTTAATTGAGCAAAGAACGATTCATGAATCAGCAGCACCGAACCAGTGGAGGTTTGAAGACCTCTGCTCCTCAGAGTGGGTAGGGAGAGTTAGGGGCTCTCTTGTTAGGGGCTAATGCAGCTGGTGACCTTATGTTCACACCAATGTTCCCTTACCATTCTGAAAATCCAAGGTCCCTTAAGAATAATACAAAATCTACTCTGCCTGTGCCTGCATAAGGAACATCAAAGCCCGGATGACAGTAAATCTGTTTATAGCATGGTTGAATAAATATTTTAAGCCCATTGTTGAGACTCACTGCTCAGAAAAAAAAAAGATTCCTTTCAAAATATTACAGCCCATTGACAATGCACCTGGTCACCCAGAGCTCTGATGGAGATACACAAGATGAATGTTGTTTTCATGCCTGCTAACACAACACCCATTCTGTAGCTTATGGATCAAGAAGTCATTTAGACTTTCAAGTCATATTACTTAACAAATACCTTTCATAAGCCTACAGTTGCCACAGACAGTGATTCCTCTGATGAATTGGGGCAAAGCAAATTGAAAACCTTCTGGAAAGGACTTACCATTTTAGATGCCACTAAAAACATTCATGATTCATGAGAGGAGGTCAAAATATCAACATGAACAGGAATTTGGAAGAAATTGAATCCAACTCTCATGGGTGATTTTGAGGGGTTCAAGACTTCAACGGATATAGTAACTGCAGATGTGGTAGAAATAGCAAGACAACTAGAATGAAAAGTGGAGCTGAAAATTTGACTGAATTGATGCAATCTCATGATAAAACTTGAACAGATGAATGAACAAAGTGGTTTCTTGAGACAGAATCTACCCCTGGTAAAGATGCTGTGAACGTTGCTGAAATGACAACAAAGGATTTAGAATATTGCAAGAACTTAAGTTAATAAAGCAGTGACAGGGTTTAAGAAGACTGACTTTAATTTTGAAAGAAATTCTACTGTGGGTAAAATGCTATCAAACAGCATTACATGCTACAGAGAAATCTTTCATGAAAGGAAGAGTCAATCAATGCAGCAAACTTCGCTGTTGTCTTATGTTGAAAACCTGCCACAGCCACCCCAAACTAGAGTAACCACCACCCTGATCAATCTGCAGCCACCAACATCTAAGCAAGACCCTCCACCAGCAAAAAGATTATAACTCACTGAAGGTTCAGATGATTGCTAGCATTGTTTGGTAATAAAGTATTTTTAAATGAAGCCATGATCATTTTTTTTTTCAGACATAATGCTATTGCACCCTTAATAGGCTATAGTATAAATATAACTTTTACATGTACTGGGGAACCAAAAAATTTATAATTGCAATTTTTTGCTTTATTGTGGTGATCTGAAATTGAATCGAGGACACTCTGGTGAAGCTCTCCTAGGCATTTTTCTACCAACTTTCTCAAAACATAATAAACAGATAATACTACACTTTGGCCCTCCAGAAAGTCAACAAGCTAAATGTCTTGGCATCCCAAAATACTGTTGCCATGACCTTTGCTCTTGACTGGTCCCCTTTTGCCTTTAAGGGACCACTTCAGCCTCTTGGTAGCTATTGCTTTGATTGTGCTTAGTCTTCAGTATTGTACTGGTGAAGCCATATTTCAACTCCTGTTACAATTCTTTGAAGAAATGCTTCATGATCTTGATTCCACTTGTTTCGAATTTCCATTGAAACCTCTGCTTCTGTCTGCAGCTGATCTGGGCATGAGGGTTTTGGCACTCACCAAGTAGAAAGTTTGCTCTACTTTAACTTTCGGTCAGAATTGGGTAAGCTGAACCAGTTGAGATATCTATGATGTTGACTATTGTTTGTGCTGTTAATTGTCAGTCCTCTTCAGTTAGGGCATGAATAAAATGAATTTTTTTCCTCATAAATTGATATCAATGGTCGCCCACTGCTTCATCTTCAACTTCATCTTCCTCCCTTCTGAAAACAGGTTATATCCATTTGTAAACTGCTGATTCCTTTGGGACACTGTCCTATAAATGTCTTATAAAATATCAATGGTTTCACCATTCTTGCAGGCAAACTTCATCATAAATTTGATGTTTGTTCTTGCTTCATTTTTTTCTTCCTTTGTGCTTTCAAGTCATATTGCTATGATAGGGGCTCTTTTCAAATTGATACTTTATCCTTCTTAGTGCCTCAAACTTGGACCTGTTCAGACATGTTCTAAGAAGTTAGTACATGTTTATTTTGACGCAAAAAAGTTTAAAACTCATGCATAGTTTTTTCATAAGACACGTTTCCCATGAACTTTTTGAAGACCTCTCATATACATATATATATGCATTAGATTATTAATTGCAATACTGTTTCTTATTGAAAAATATTAGAAACAACCTAAGTAGTCATTGAGAAAACCATGGAACATGCAGTATTATGCAGATGTGCCAAAAAAGGGGAAAGATCTCTGAAAATTGGTATGAACTGATTTCCAGAATACACTGTTAAATAAAAAAGCAAAATAAGAAGAGTATAATATATTATCCTTCATGTAAGAAAGAAAGGAGATGTGGGAAAGTATACATGTATCAGCTGTCTTGTGCAAAAGAAACAAGTAGAAACGAGAAATTAATGAGATTATTTACCTAGAGGGCATGGGTGGGAATTGGGGTGGAAAGAATGAGAGGAGAGAATGAGAAGAGAAAGGGGAAAGTGATACTTCTGGGTGTAGCTTTTGATATAATTATGGTTCTCAGAACAATGCTCTTCCATATTCCTCCCACCCAAATTAACATTTAAAATCAACTGTGATGAGGGAACCCAAAATAGAATGCAAACAGTACAAAATGAACCTAACTCAATTATCAATAGATAACACAACTACACTGAGGCATGGGGAAGAAAATCGCCAAACTCTATGAATTTGGAAAACAGAATATTGACTGTACATTGTAAAGCTAAAGACAAAAAAAGCCAGAAACAGATATACACAAATATTTTACTCTCATCAGGAAATGTGTTTTCCACAGGAGTATGGTGAGAAATTCTGAAACTACTTTGTGTCTAGGACTAAGCAAATAAGAAAATAGACCATGGTGAAGAGGGCCAGATTTCTCATTGTTGGAAAAAGAAGTTATAGGCCCAGGGCAGTGGCTCATGCCTGTAATCCCAGCACTTCAGGAGGCCAAGGTGGAGGGAGATCGCTTGAGCCCAGGAGGTTGAGACCTGCCTGGGCAATATGGCGAGACCTTGACTCTACAAAATATTTAAAAATTGCCCAGCGTAGTATCATATACCTGTAGACCCTGCAAGAATTGCTTGAGCCCAGGAGGTTGAGTGGGCTGTGATCATGTCACAGCCAGGGCAGGGCAAGAGAGACCCTGTCTCAAAAATAAAAAAAAGAAGAAAAAGAAATTACAAATAAGGAAAAGGGGAGGATAGGATGAGTGACAGATATCAACATCAACTTAAGGTTAATATACGTATAACTAATCTTATATTACGTGTATATAGATACATATGGAAACACACATAGGCGTGCTTGTATGTATGCGTGTATATATATAAAATATGTACATATATATATATTTTTTTTCCTTAACTCCATCTGCCCAGGTGGACCAGAAGCAATGACATCCCCATAGCAATGAGCCTATCTGGAGTGCAGCTATTGGTTCCTAAATATGAATTTTCAAAGAAACCAGGGCTCCTTAGAAAATGATTAATTCCAATGCTATGGTGGGAAGATGCAAGATTAGGTTGGAGCATCTTACAATGCCAGAAATTAAAGAAGTGCCCAGAAAATAATTAGGAAATACTGAAAGAAACAAGAGGCAGCTTAAAGAAGCTGCCAGCGACCCAGCCTGGGACAACTTGTGCAACAAAATAAGCAATAGTAATTAGTAATTCATAGGATAAAACAGATACTCATGAACCCACACTAATAATATAAATGAATAAGGGAATGAATGAATACATATATACTTCATACATACATACATGCCTACAAGCAGCAGAAGGGATATCTCTTCCTTATGGTAGATTTCTGAAAAATAAGTATAGATTGAATAACAGAAATTAAAAAAAAAATCACCATTAGGCAAGTACCACAGTAACAATGCATGTGGGTGGACATCATCTATTGATGCTAAAAATTAGCGGTGGAGTATAGTGAGAAACAGTAACTGCTGTCTTAAAGTATCTTCCCACAAGTTACAGATTAATTCCAGAGGGAAGAACAGTAACTCTACAGTGAAGAAACATGGCTGATGCCACCCTGCCCCAAGCAGTCAGCTAACGGCCCTTGTAAAGACACACGGAGTCAAGGACACCAAACTTTGCTGACGTGATGCACTGAGAACACCTCTATAGTGTTCTTGTCAAATATGCAGAGCCTCAATGTCATCATGAGGAAGTATCAGATTAACCCGAATTAACGGGCACTCTATGAAACAGTGGGCAGTAATCTTCAAGTGTGCCAAGCCCAGGAAAGATACAGAAGGGTGGCATGCTGTCATATGCTGGAGGACGCTAAGGGGACACGAGGGCTAAATGTACTGTGGACTGGATCGTGGACGAGAAAGAGGCCCCTCAGGAGAAGCTAGAGAGACAGCAGCAGGGCCTGGTTTCATCAAAGACAATTTTTCCACAGCTAGAGGCGGTGGACGGTTTTGGGGTGAAACTCTTCCACCTCAGATCATTGGGCATTAGATTCTCATAAGGAGCTCGCAACCTAGATTCCTCACATGCGCAGTTCACAAGTGGGATCATGCTCCTATGAGAATCTAGTGCCGCTGTTGCTGAGACAGGAGCTAGAGCTCAGGTGGTAATGCTCACTCGCCTGTGCTCACCTCCTGCTCTGCCGCCGGTTCCTAACAGGCCTTGGGCCACCAGTCCTTTGCCCGGGGTGGGGGTGGTAGGGGAGTCCTATCTTACAGGATCACCGTCATATACGCAGCCTGTCATTAGCCACGTGTCGTCGTGCCATGTATGACCGTCCTTCAGGGTCCCTGTCTGCTCAGCCTGCTATCTTCATTCGCTACAGTTGGTGTCCCGCTTCCTGCACGGACTGCAGGTCTGCTGGCCCTGGAAGCCATCTTGACTTCAGCACCTGACGGGAGAGCAGCTCAGTATCAAGGCTGATTGGACATCATTGTTACCTCATCCACACGCAGCAAAGCTCCTGGGTCCTCTGTTCAGTGATGGGAGTGTGGTCCACTAGCACGCAAGATACAACAAACGCTTGGTTTATTCTGGTCATTTGAATACTCAGTTGTACCTTTCCAGACCTCACTAGCCCTCTGAAAAGAGAGGTACAGAAATAAGGAGACTCTCTCAGGTCTGGCTGAAATGCCCCTTGCTTATTGCAGGCAAATGGGGCGGTCAGCGTGAGGCAGGACCCACACCCCGTGTGCTCCTTCTCCTTCCATCTGTTTGCTGCTGCTCCCCTTTGTAGGCCTCACAAGACTAGACCCGGCCCCTCCTCCTTCACTTCCAGGGCTCTGCTCAGATGCCTCTCAAATTTCTGTCTCTAAACATGTACACTCTCCAATTAACCCTAAAATTAACATGGAAAAAATGTATGTCTCAGATTATTTAATATGCTCTAGTTATGTTATTCAGTTATTCACTCTAGAAGCACATGTTAAGCTTCTAGCATGAACCTGGCTCTGTGCCCAGGGAAAGGTCTGAACATACTGGGGCCACAGACAGTGGTCGGCGATGTCAGTGGAATGGCTGCTAAGGTTCACCTTAGGACAAACAGAGCAGCCAGGAAAGCACAGGAGGTCACCTATCCGTGTCTTTAGAGGTCCAGGAAGGCTTCCTGGAGGAGACATCTCAGGTGGGAACCACAGGTCAAGCTGAACTTGGCCAAGAAAGGGAGCCTGGAGGAGCTTGGGGATAGATGGACAAGGCATTTGAGGGGGACCAAGGTTTCAAGCAATGAGAACCACATGTAGAAAGGACTGGAAGAGACTGTGGACTTCAGACTCAAAGCCACTGCACCACACACTTTTTAATATATTTCTAACCACTCAGAGACTCCATTTCAAGCATAATTTCCTACCTAAACTGTCACATGAGAATGATGCACTCAATGTTTTCTACCAAGCACAGTGTGAAATCTTATGGAATAGGAAATGCGAGACTGTGCTGTCCAGGTTCTGTATTAATTAACTTCATTTCAAAATGCTTAAAATATTGTCCTTGGGAAAGGTTTCCACATGCCCTCATGATACTCCTCTCCTAAGCTGTCTTCCTGGAACCAAGATTCTTTCACCAGTCATTTAGGTGTTTGTGTTGGGGGGTGTGGTTTGTGTGTGGGGTCCCCTTAGAGCCAGCTCCTGTCATGGGAAGAAGCCAGAGAAGGGCCAGGCGTAATGGCTGACACCTGTAATCCCAGCACTTTGGGAGCTCAAGGCAGATGGATCACCTGAGGTCACGAGTTCGAGACCTGCCTGACCAACATGGTGAAACCCTGTGTGCTAAAATGCAAAAATTAGCCAGTGTGGTGGCGGGCACTTGTAATCTCAGCTACCTGGGAGGCTGAGGCAGGAGAATCGCTTGAACCCAGGAGGGAGAGGTAGCAGTGAGCCAAGTTCACACCATCGCACTCCAACCTAGGCAACAAGAGCAAAATCCTGTCTCAAAAAAAAAAAAAAAAAAAGTATGTGTACGATGCAAGAGTTTGGAATAAATCTAATATTTTATCATTGGTCTTTTACTATCTCTCATGATGCCCCTCTCCTAAGCAGTCTTCCTGGAACCAAACCCCTTTCGCCATTTAGGTGTTTGTGTTGGGGGGTGTCCTTTGTGTGTGGGGGCCCCTCAGAGCCAGCTCCTGTCATGGGATGGTGTCCCATCTCAGGTGCAGACTTCTGTAGGCTGGGCTTGTGCAAGAAAAGAGCAGTATTCCCAGCTCCCAGAATCTCCTGCTGTGCCCGGGCAGGCCTCTGCCTCCCTGACCGGAGCTCTTATCTCTGAATATCTCCTCGCATCCCACCTGTATGCTTCTCTGCAGGTCAGGTGAAGGGAAGGAGATCAGAGGGCTAACGTCAGATGTGGAGACCATGGTCCGTTCATTACTCACCTCTCCTGGCAGGCCTGGAAGCAGAATGGCAGATGCCCAGGCAGTGCACAGGAGAAACATGCTTTGTCCCTCTCCACTTGGAACCTCCTTTTGTTTTGTGCCAGGGCTGCCTTAGCTTCAAGGGGCTCTCGAAAAAACCATGTGGCCAGGAAGCAGGAAGGGCAAGGAAGGAAAGAAGTAAGACTATTCTCAAGACTTTATTCCAGGTTGATAGGCAAGAGGTAAAGGCCCACTTCAGGTTTCCCTATAGAGTACTGACTAATTTACTAGGATGCAAATGGAGACAGGGGTCCAGGGCCGAAACTTTATGTGATGAAACCACAGTTACTATCGTTATAAAAGCCAATGTGTACTCAGCACGTGGCCTATGCTAGGCCCCAGCCTCGTGTTTCTATGTATAGTCACATCTCATTATCTCAGGTAGTTATGTTCTATAAAGTCACTACAAACACACTGAATTAATGAACATTGAATCATTCCTTCTACGGAAAACACAAGGTTGGGTTCCTGAAGCCCCTGGCCACATTTTTGTCAATAAATACACAACCTTGTTTTTATGTGTATTGATATTTACAGACACCTTATTTAATAGTGTTGATTCATTAACATTGAACTCATGGCCAACAGCACCGTAACTCTTGCCCGAATGAAGCTTGTCTAACATAGGTATTCACCCCCTAAGGCATGTCATGGTCTTCTGTGCTGAGGACGCAAGACAGACCCTCAGCACTGTGCTTGGGGGCCATTTTCAACACTGCATTTTCCAAGTAAAATTTCCTATACCCAAGTGCAGGTTGAACCAATGAAACTGCCCTTAGTTCAACCTCATTTATCCTTGGAAAGCAATCTTTCCATGACTGGAGTTGTCAGTTTATTTCATCTTTTTCCATGACCAACTAGTTATTATATTTGGAAATCTTGAAAGCACTTATGTCAGAGGCATGTGAACCAGAGCAACCCCATTTTAAATAGCAGCTGCGTAAAACGAGGCTAAGACCTACTGGGCTGCATTCCCAGGTGAAGGCATTTTAAGTCACAGGATAAGATAGGAGGTCGGCACAGGATACAGGTCATAAAGACCTTGCTAATGAAACAGGCTGCAGTAAAGAAACCAGCCAAATCCCAACAAAACCAAGATAACCTCTGGTCATCCTCACTGCTATACTTCCACTAGCACCATGACAGTTTACAAACACCGTGGCAGCAAGAAGTTACCCTATATGGTCTGAAAAGGGAAGGCATGAATAATCCACCCCTTCTTTAGCATATCATCAAGAAATAATCATAAAAATGGGCAACCAGCAGCCCTCAGGGCTGCTCTGCCTATGGAGTAGCCATTCTTCTCTTCCCCTACTTTCTTAATAAACTTGCTTTCACTTTACAGACGTGCCCTGAATTCTTTCTTACGCAAGATCCAAGAACCTTCTTTTGGGGTATGGATCTGGACTCCTTTCCTGTAACACTTACAGATGTACTCTATGCTTTATTCAATAGAAGCACAGAGTTTTATTATTCTATAGATGTCATATAATTACTTCCTAACCTTTTAAAGTTAAGGATATAAGGATAAGACTTCACATGTTAGTATGACTAGGCCACATAGAAATATCTTCTGCCTAAAAGATGCTGAACATGGACTGTTTTATCACAAGAAGTACACGACTTGCTTTCCTGGGGTTCTTGTGGTATTTGTTTTTATCTAACTGAATTTTGATCAAATCTCTACTGAGGCTGTAAGATGGACAATGAAACTTTTTTGGTACTCACCTTTTCAATGGGAAGATTTTAGGGAGAAAATGGAGTGGGCAAAGCAGTTAAACAAAATAACAGACATTCTCATTACCAGCTTACCAAACCTAGAAGCAAACAGAAGAGCAAAAGCTATCAGTAATGACTTTGGAGTGGTATATTCACAAAAATCTCCAAGCTTCTCTGGGGCCCATATGAGACAGGCAGCCCTGATTTTTAATCTCCTTTCTTAGCAGGGTGGAAAGCAATAGAGAAAAAGACGCCACTTCTTCATTTGTTAGTGTTTGTTCAGGCAGCACAAGTCAGAGAACAGTAAACGCTTGTTCAATGGTCTGCACTGTTTACACAAAACTGGAAAGATGGGTTGGATTAACTATTCCTTTTATAAGTAACATTACACTCTTTCAAACTCTTGGCCGGCCAGTGAACTGCGTGAAGAAATAGCTCTCACAGCCAGGCGCGGTGGTGAGATTACACGCCTGTAATCGCAGCACTGTGGAAGGTTGAGGGAGGCGGATTACGAGGTCAGGGGTTCGAAACCAGCCTGACCAACACGGTGAAAACCCGTCTCTACTTAAAAATACAAAAAAAAATTAGCCGGGCGTGGTGGCGCGCACCTGTAACCCCAGCTACTTGGGAGGCTGAGGCAAGAGAATTACTTGAACCCGGGAGGCGGAGGTTGCGGTGAGCCGAGAGGCCACTGCACTCCAGCCTGGGCGACAAAGCGAGACTCCATCTCAAAAAA